TAGAGCAGGGGGCTGGACTTGATGACCTCCTGAGGTCTCTTTCAGCTCTATGGTTCTATGATACTGACGAGTATAAGAGTTAAGCACTTGTTTAAATATTTGCCAAACTGGGAAGAAAGAAATAGTTCCTGAACTGAAAAGCATGCAATCCAACAACAACGGGTAGAGGCCAATACCTCACAAGTAATTAAGTTTATGGATCTTATCTGGTACATGAAGTTTGTTCCCCTGTTTAAAGAAATCCAATTTTAAATAAAAGATTAAAAGCCACCATAAGTATCAGCAAGTTTAAATATTTTGACTTCAAGATAGAAACAAACTGCAGAAGTTCAATTTAGTATAACGGTGATTTTCAAAATTTCACGAGTCGCTTTTCAAATACAAAAAGAAATATCTTTTTGACTATATCTATTAGAAATGTCACTTCTAATTGCAGAAATACAGCTTTTTTCACCCTGCAATTAGAAGCGACAATCAATACCAACATTAGATTAAGTTTGAACTTTACTTGTCTCCCAAGGAAATCTTTTATTTAAAAAAAAAAAAGAAGAAAGTTGGAAACTCAATAGACACTCAATTAGTCAGAATCCTAAGCTCAGTAAAGAAAATATGGATTTTAAAACAGCCTAAATGTTCAAACCAAAATTCAGTTGGGACCCAAACCTTGATGACTGTGATGATCCTGCTTCCAAAAGGTCACAATGAACTGTTCTATATTAATACACTGTATAATCTCCTCGGATGGCAGCTTTGTCAAGAAAGGGTGCGTCAATAAGCCACTAGATTGGGACCCAGGAGACTTGCATTTAATTCTTTAGTATGTTGGACACTCTGCATGACCTGAGACAAGTCACATCCTCAGTGCTCAGTTTCCTGAGTAAAAACGGAGCTAACGATAATTCTTCTCTCTCACCTCTGTCCGATGGGTTTAGACTGTGAGCACTTCAGCAAAGGAACGGTCCCTTATTGAATGCTAGGACTTGGAGCCACTATCATAGTACAAATACATAGCAACTAGCTGAAAGGAATGATGTTTATTGCCCACATCCTTATACCAATGAAAAATGGTAGGAAATACACAACGGAGAGGTAAAAACTAAGGCTATTTCAGCTGAACGTGACAGATCTTTGGGACCTATTTGGTTCCTTAATATGCTCTTGCTACTACTAGGGGAAACCAGTAGTGCTCCTACAGTAGTTGTGACACACATCTGGTCTCCTGCAGGCATTTGCATCCTTCAGAAATAATCCTACCCACACAAAAGTTACTGTTTCCAGATGCAATTGTCTCAGCCTTGAATATTCAGTCCTTGACCACTTTAAAAGGGCATCAGTCTTGGCTCACAAACACAGCATGGGCAAATGGAAATATTCACTAACCAAGCCAGTGCAGAAGACCCTTCTGTGTTTAAGATGAGTCTTTGTATAACCAATCTTCAGAAGGGGTGGGATGGAACAAACGAAGCCATTGACATTTAGCGGTAGCTGACATCTGGGCTAAAAATGAACCTGCCGGCACCTCACAAAAGTTCACATCAAGTTTAAGACACACACACACACAAACATACAACAGCTGCAGATCAGCGTGGGGACTAAACAACCCTGCCGCAGCAGCTTCGGCCTGGCCAAGACACGGCTCTCTCTGAAGCAGATAGCTTCAAGCTGCTCCGGGCATGGTCCTCTCCTTTTCTGGATGGAAGTACAGGATAGTGCACATGCAAGACTTCAGGCAGAGACATGAATGGCAGGTTAACATAGTTCATTCAGACAAAATTCTTCACACGGCTTCTCTACTCTGGGTGTGATCTCCATGGGGCTCTCGCCAGACCCTAAAAAACCTGGGATCTGTTTTCTACTGGAGCAGCTCCAGTCGGTAATAGACTAACCAAGACTCATGCATTGCATCTAACCCCACTCTAGAGTTCCAAAGTCTCAGAGGGGTCTCTGTGTTAGTCTGTAACATTAAAAACAATGAGAAGGCCAAAAAGATAACCAGATTTTTAAAAACAATGAGAAGGCCAAAAAGATAGCCCAGTGAGTTTATCTGGTGTGGTGGTTTTTAAAATCTGGTTATTAGCCGAGATAGGGCCACACTAGGCTCTGCCAGCCCCTGACTAAGACTCCAATTGGCAGAAGTGGAGACTGGACGAAAAAGGACGGATCGCTCCATTGCGTGGTTCTGATTGTTCCCTCTGACCTCTGTCAGAAAGGCAGGACACTGGGCTGGACGTACCATTGGTCTGACCCAGTCTGGTTTGTTACTATAGGTCTGAAAATTGGCTCACGTGGATTTAGCTTGCAGTGGTAGCTTTACTGACAAGTTAAACCCAAACTAGGTTGCAATCACATTAAGACTGTCCATGCAGGGTCTTGTTTCAGCAACACCAGTCTAACACAGCTACGTCTCTACTACTATTCTACATGCAGGGTTCGGCACTGGTTAAGCCAAATCTGTTTAAAAACTACACGTAAGCAAGGGCAAACTTTGTGAAGAGGTCAGACCTACGACCTTATTCCGCCACAAAATATAGCCAAGTGCATTACACATATTTAATAATTTAAACTGAGCTGCAGTTGGAGCGCAATCTCATGATGCAGACACCTGGTTGAAAACATTTACGCTCTCACTCAAAACATTTAGTCATTCTCAATAGGTCTCCTAATCATTCATGTGAATTAGGGAGGTTCTAACCTTACAATGAGACCCGGCGACAGTGGAGGATTATTGATCAGCAATGGGAACTCTAGAGCAGATTCAGCATTGAAGTTCTCAATTTAATCTCAGCGAAGCTGACCTCTCCGAGAGTTTCTAAAATAGTTTCTGCGGTACGTGCAAGAGCATCAATTGCTATTCTTTGTACTTTAGAAAGGAGAAAGGAAGACATTTAAGAACATGGCAGATAGCCATGTTAAAACCCTCTCCGGCCATGCACTGCAGCTGCTTTTCAATGACATTTAGCCTGCATCATTTTAGAGTAAGCACAACAGGCCAGATCCTCAACTAGGGTACGTCAATGTAGTCCTGTCTCCAATTTACACCCGCAGAGGACCCAGCCCCAGGTAACTATTTAAAAAGAAAGCGCACACACTCCAATTGATTATATCTGTGTTCTAGAACGGCAACACAGGAAGTTCCTGTTTACATACCATCCGAGTATACCAAAAAAATAAAATCCTTTTTGCCACTGGAAAGGGCTGGCATGCTACTCTCACCCGTGAGTTTAAACAGAGCTGGCATCACAATGCGCACACCCTCCATCACAAACGGCACTAAGATGACGTCTCAAGAGCCTGACAAATCCAGCCGAGGGTGGAAATCCCAGGGTGGGGGCCAGCCTGTACTTAAAATGGATCCAGTTGACCCAGCAGTTGTGGTTCGGAGGCAAATAATCCTCCATCACTTATGGGAGGCACAAGAGTTCAGAGCCGAGGGGCTTTCTTTCTTGCAACGTGCACAAGCAAGGAAACCAACTGCCAGAGCCTCCTGTGTATATTATGGACATTAAAAGCTAATTACACTCGTTGGCTCATTCGAATACTGGAAGCGGCTTGGTCTGGATCCCTCAGTGAGATTCTGCTGGCATCCAGGATCTACATTCTGCTCACAAACGGGATGGTCATTTACTCCTGTGCAGCGACGGCTTTGCGTGCACTTTTGTCGTCCCTGCGGAAGGGAGGGGCTGCAACATGGCTTGGACATGTGAAGTTCATGCACCCCCCCCCCCCCCCCACGCCCGCCCCCCCCCCCCCCCCCCCACTGGGCCAGTCCCTGCGCCCTGCACAGAGTGACAGCCAAATGCCAGAGCGAGTCGGGGTGCTGGAACAATTTTTAGAGTGGGGGCTGCTGAATTCAGCTAGAAACCCCGTATATAATGGCAACTACTTCGCACCCGGGGTGGGGAAGAGGGGAGGCTGCAGCACCACCTCCCCCACGCTCCTAGTTTCAGCACCTATGAGGTCAGGCTGCTGCTCTTACAGCTTAGGAAAAGGAAAGGAAGAGCCTAGACCCTCACATGCTCACTGGCAGACTCTTACAGCCACCGCGAGCCCTACCAGCCTACAGGGCTCTGTGCAAACAAGGCTTCTGTCTGTGCATGAGTGGACTTGGATCAGGCCTACTAGATTCACTAAAGGCAAGGTTCTGCTTTTTTGCAGTAGGTGTAACCCTGGAGAAACTCTGCAGACTTCAGTGGAGTAACTGTGGACATTCCCTAAGTGCCAGCTCTGATCACTGACACCAAAGGCGTCGTCTGACACGCATCCGAGAAACAAGAAGGCAACTCCGAGAAGCAAGAAGGCAACTGTTTCATAAGCAGCCTCTCAGTGGGTGATCAGCAGCAGGAGATGGATGCTGAGGGTAAAATGAACAATCCACAAGGCCGAGAGAATCCCAAAGCAGGTCGTGAGAATTCTACATGCCCCATCCCCATGTTACAAACACAGACAGCACACACAGCGCCCTGGCATCTGAACGCACGTTCACTCGCTAGACCATGGAACAAGAAAAGCACAGCCTGCTGTCTGAGCCGAGGACCGCACCTCTTTTCAACCCACGGACATGGGCATTTTAGGGCACTGGTAATAAGAGAGAGAGCCTGGCGTATCTGGGCTATTGGTTCACATCTGGCAGGGTAGGGACCATAACTCATCATCTTGGGGGAGGCGCAGAGTCGTTCTCAACAGACAAGTGACCCCAATACACTCCTATCCCCAGACCCTCCCCTGTTTAGTTTGCAACTTGCCAGCGCTTTGCCCCGTGAAGAAGGCAGTGCATTCGCGCCTGTGCACCACAAATGTCCCACTTTTTGGCTTCTTAAACAGGAACTGAAGAGTGAGTCCTCTTCACAGGGGTGAATTACACCCAGATGACACTCGTTTTCCTCTGCTTAGTGCTGTCTGGTTTGCCCTCAATTCAACTACAAAAAATACACCCCAAACCGGCTGACTGTGACAAACCGGCTGACTGTCGCTCCCTGTAAGGAGAGACTCAGCACACTCACCTGTGCTGCTCCACCGTCTCGTTGTCGGGCAGCTCTGCCCCGCAAACGCTGCACTGCTCCCCGATGGCTCGGTTTTCAGTTTTCATGCCGGCCGCCAATTCCCCCAGCTTGCTGAAGAGCTCCCTTTGAATAAAGCCTTGAGGCAGGAGCCCGCCGTACGCGCTGAAGTCCATGGACACGGCCAGAGCGGGCTGCATGTGAAGCGCCGGCGGCATGGAGGACGGCAGGCTGAGCAGAGAGTCCGTTTTGTGATTTGGTAGCACTGAATAAATACTCAGGTGTTTCTCAGTGGGAGAGATTGAGTGCTCCGGGCCGACGGGCGCTCCTGGGCCCAACTCGGGGGGCTGCTCCGTGTTCTCATCCCGGGCATAATGCAGTTCGCGGGCACTTGTGATAACACTGCTACGGGTGGGAGTTCCAGGCCCTTCCTTGCCTTTGTCATCCAACTTGTCCCCGCCAGAAGTGCCGGACTCTGCCGTCCGGGGGCTTTCGTGGCTAGAAGCCTCCTCCACTTGCATCACTTCTGTTTTCACGTCGGAGAGCCCCGGCTGCCGGCTGCCCATGGAGTGCAAGTCCTCAGAGGCGTGCTGCTGCAGCGCACCTTGCAGTAACGACTGCCCAATGGTCATCAAACTGTCCACAGCTGCCTTGGTGGGGCTCATGGCAGAGAGACCGAAGGAAGTCGAGACGGACGGGCTCTGGTCCACCATGGCCCCCGTTAAACTCTGGCTGGCCATGCTGGCGTAGGTACTCTCCTCACTGGAATGCTTGGAGATAAATAGGCGTGCTGCTGCAGCGCACCTTGCAGTAACGACTGCCCAATGGTCATCAAACTGTCCACAGCTGCCTTGGTGGGGCTCATGGCAGAGAGACCGAAGGAAGTCGAGACGGACGGGCTCTGGTCCACCATGGCCCCCGTTAAACTCTGGCTGGCCATGCTGGCGTAGGTACTCTCCTCACTGGAATGCTTGGAGATAAATAGGTTTTTGATGTACCTAGATTTCCTATCCTCCTCCTCTTCGGTGCCACCCTCCGCCATGTTAACTTCAGTGTCATTGTCATCGGAAGCCTGAATGGTCTCGAGGATCTTCAGACACTGCTCTTCCAGGTACTCTATTTCTAGGATCTCGGCTGCGTACAGAAGATCATCCAGGTCTTCAACTTTAGCCTGGAGGGTGGCGGTGTAAGCGTATTCCAGAATCTGCTGAAAGGTCTTTGGTGAAAGGAAGTCCAAGGTGTAATGCTGGCTGTTACGGTGGAACAGGATCTCAAACATTTTACTAGTGCAAGCCAACACGGTCCGGTGAGCGTGGAACTCCTGATTGTCCACCATGATGACCACATCACACAGAGTCCCTGCCAGGCGCATTTGGTTGGCTTTGTGCAGAAGTCCCGTGGGATGGCTGGGGTTCTGGAGCTGTATCAGACCCATTTTAGTCAAATCCATAGCGCTCCGGAGGTGTAGTCATTAGGGTGTCTGTCTTTGCTCAGTCTGGGACTAGCTTTGGGTGCCCGTTGTCTGTGAAAACAAAAGGGGGGGGGAGAACCATTTAGTTTTGTTAGCAAGTTGCACACAAAGTTTCTGCAGCTGAGTTTTGGAGCCTGGAAACTCTGGCAGAGAAGCCTGCAGGCTGCAGCCTTCATTGGCCTTGTCCAGGCAGCTCACCTGGTGGATAAACTGGGTCACCCTTCCAGGCAACTTTGTCAGAGGGAAACAATGAAAGGGGGGAGGGGACACCTCTTCTTCCTGGGAGCTAAAGGGGGTATCTAGCCTCCCCCCCAAAGAAATCACACCCACAAACCTTGTTTTGGCTGATCCTCCCCCCATCCGCTGCAGCCTTCATTGGCCTTGTCCAGGCAGCTCACCTGGTGGATAAACTGGGTCACCCTTCCAGGCAACTTTGTCAGAGGGAAACAATGAAAGGGGGGAGGGGACACCTCTTCTTCCTGGGAGCTAAAGGGGGTATCTAGCCTCCCCCCCAAAGAAATCACACCCACAAACCTTGTTTTGGCTGATCCTCCCCCCATCCGGAGTCCTACCCACACCTCTTTCCGAGGGGCCCCTACCCCAAATACATCCACCCCCCAAGGGGCCACTCCACACCCCCTGTGCTCCCGGGGAGGAGGGGATCTGTGGCCCTCCCCTCTGCCCCCGAGAAGGGGGGGATCTGTGCCCTTGCGACTCGCTCCCTCCCCCACCCTAGCGGCGTGCCCCCCACCTTCAGCCCAGGGCTGGTCGGTGCCCGGCTCCCCAGCTCGCAGCGGGCGCTCGAAGCTAGAAACCAGAGGGG